GCGCCAGGAGGGCCAGCAGGTTCTGGGAGCTGGGCGTCTTGGGGAAGTCGAACGCGGGCATGGCCTAGGAGGGCGGTGGGTGCTGAGGACGGCGACCAGGAACATCCTGGCAGGTCGGCAAGATCCACCTGCGTCTGGAGGCCCAGCCCCGAGCACCAGCCCTCCATGGCCCCGCCTTCGTGGCCAACACTGCTCTGTGCTGGACAAAAGTACCACGCACACGCACAAGCACACGCACTTACACGCACACGCTCACACACACGCACACTTGGACACGTAGAGACACACACACACACACACACACACACACACGCCCTGAGCCCGAATGGTGACACCACAGGGTGGCTGTAGGTTCTGTTTCCATTTCACAGACAGGAACACTGAGTCCAGAGGACAGACTACATGGTTTCCCGTGGCCCTTCCTCTGCTAAGGGCCACACAGCAGCTGCTTGGCTTTGTGGACAGGCTCTGCCTCGGGAAGACAGCCACCAGCCAAGATCCGGTAGACAGGGGACCTTCACCCACTGACTGAGACGCGGGGGCCCTGTTACCTTGGTGGGAGAGCCCAGGATGGGGGGCAGGCGAGTGCTCGGGCACAGAGGAACCTGGACAAAAAGGACAGGCCTGGTCACTGCGGCCTGTGGCTGCCCCCTGCCCGGCCCACACTGCCCCCAGGAGCATGGACGGGCACCACGTCTGTTCATCACACCCTTTACCCTCGCAGCCAGCCGGGCAGGAGACAGCGGAGGAGCCGAGACACCCGCCCGGGTCCCACACATGGAGGAGGCGTGGGAGGGAACCGCTTCCTCCCCTCCTCCTGCTGGTGAGGACTGCAGGCCCCGGAACAGGAAGGCGGCCCCGCCCAAAGCAGGAGGAGCTCCTCGCCCCCCAGACCCAGGCTCTGGCCCAGGGGTTAGCGCCACACCTACCTGGACGAGGGGACCTGCCGCCCCGCATCTCGGCTCCTTGTGGGGAGGGCACCCCGCTCCATCCCAGCCGCTCGGGGATGGTTCCGACTGGAGGAAAGGGGGTGCCGGGGTCAGTGCCAGATGGAGAGGACACACACCCCCACCCCAGCCTCAGAGACGCCCAGTCCCTCCCCGTGCAGGGCTGCACCCCCCAGCACACACGGACCCACCTTGTGGAGACGGAGTATAGGGCCGGCCTCCACCCAGGGACAGCTTCCTGGCCAGGGCAGCTCCGTGCTCGGCGTGGGACGGGGGCGATGGACTGGCCCGAGCAAAGCCCAGGGGGCTGGTGCTGCCCGACCTG